CCATAAAATAACAACTGCTTTGCAATTCTATTAATTACAGTATATAGATCATGAAATAATACTAAATGAATCATTCGATACTATGTATAGTAAGGAAAAACCAATAGTTAAATTTAGATGCTCCTTCTCACAAATGTATTTTATTACTGACTGTAGAATACAACAAATAACTATCCAAATGTTGCAAATATATTTCTTAAATTTTAATATAACTTTCTTTGGTTACCATTGCCATTTTGCATTTTAAGTTCATTTTTTTGATAACTGCATTTGTACCAAATATAACTTAATACAAGGATGGATGCGCCTAATTATACTTTTAGGGAACAGCTTATTTGAATCTGCTAAGTCTACGGTCACACTAGAGTCTCAAGCCTGGCTTGACTCACCGCGGGTGAGATTTCAAGCCAGGCTTGAAATTCTGGGTCGGTCACACTACCTGAATTTAGTTGGATTGAACTCCAAATTAAGAAAGTCGAAACAGGAAGTTAGAGCAACGCCACAATCAAAATACCGGCCCCGTGCGAATCTAGATGATCTAGGCTTAGGCCTAGGCTCGGATGTAATGGCGATGCTAGTTTTCGGATTGATAAGTGCATTATAAATTACAATTGATGATTGTGTCTTATTATAATACACACATGAAGAACTCGTGGGTATTTTATTCAAAAACTTCTAAACGCAACGGCGTCATCGACTGTGATTGGTCGACAGCCGATGAGGAAATGTCAATCCCGGTCATGTCAGGGTCAATCCAGGTTCAATCAGGGTGCTGAGCCGGGATCGAGATAGGTAGATTGAGATCGAGGTCACGTCAGGCGCGAGTCGATCCAGGTGCGGTCACATTATGAAAATCTCACCCACTGTGAGTCAAGCCAGGCTTGAGACTCTAGTGTGACCGTAGCCTAACTGCGCTGAACTGTGATTACATAACCTTTTTCTCTGATTTAATTTGTTTGCTGCCGTCATTGTGTTTCAGCTGGAGGGCTAGAATGCAAATATAATGCTCTGTCCACATCAAATTTTCTTGGACAAAAAACTGTTACATGACCATATTTAGTCATGATGTGCCTATATATGGTCATGATGTGATGCCATCATGGTAATATTTAGGCATGTTTTTGTCAAATAAAATTTGATAGTTGTGACAGGGCTTTATATGTTATGCACCATCTTTCAAAAGAGACATTTAAACCTTTTTTCTTATTTGCATTTACTGTATGGGCCATGCACATGTTTAAGAATGTTAAGGCCAAATAGAATGAATTGCTACAGTAGTTGTCCCCATCCTCATCAAATTTTGGAGCCTCATAAAAAAATGTTTCTATGGACAAAAAAATGAATATCTGAAAGAATAATGTCAAGCCTTAGAAGAGGTGGGAACATAAATGGCAGAAATACATTACTAAGATTCATTTTACTTTTTTATAAAAAAAACAAACAAACAAACAAACAAAAAACTATTTTTGCTATTTACCAGCCTGTTTACCATTAGTATATAGGATAATAAAAAGCAATAGTAAATACCCTCACCAAAAAATAATTTCAAATCCCGGCCGTGAAACTAACAATTAATTTTATTTGGCCTAATTGTCTGCCAGGGTAACTGCACGATTCAACATAAGGACTCCACTTGAAATAAGTCATCAGACTTTCTGTTGTCCATTTCGCTCCAAAAAACATCAAATGCAAAACCTATTTTAATCTTAACAATTCTTAGTAAATTGGTGATAAGGCTATGTTTATTCTATGTTCAAACATCAGATAATGATATGACTAACAACTCAGGGATTATTATCGCCTAGCTTGAGATCGTATTTCATGTTTTTTGTTATTTTTGTTGACTGAAATATCTTTTGTTTGTCCATGAACATCTAAACGACCCTCCATCTAACAAATATGGGTGTACTGTAATGTAAGCTCTGGTTTAATGTTAACCTTTCCTGCTATCAAGAATTTATTACTCAACTGTAACAGTACATCATGTTAATAAAGTTGTGAATATTATTACTTAAGGGGAATATCCAAAATACATAAATAGTACATGCCTGTGTAATCCATCAACTCAGGGATAAATTCCATTATTATTATTATTAGAACAGACTAATGTAAAAGTAAATTACCTGAGTTTAAATAGTGCAAACTATCTAATATTTCAGATTCTGATTTAAATACAATAGATTACATATTACAGGATTAATGTTAAAGAGATCAAAATAAATTATGATCCATAAAATAACAACTGCTTTGCAATTCTATTAATTACAGTATATAGATGATGAAATAATACTAAATGAATCATGGGATACTATGTATAGTAAGGAAAAACCAATAGTTAAATTTAGATGCTACTTCTCACAAATGTATTTTATTACTGACTGTAGAGTACAACAAATAACTAGAACTTTGAACATAGTCATTCCAAATGTTGCAAATATATTTCTTAAATTTTAATATAACTTTCTTTGGTTACCATTGCCATTTTGCATTTTAAGTTCATTTTTTTGATAACTGCATTTGTACCAAATATAACTTAATACAAGGATGGATGCGCCTAATTATACTTTTAGGGAACAGCTTATTTGAATCTGCTAAGGCTACGGTCACACTAGAGTCTCAAGCCTGGCTTGACTCACCGCGGGTGAGATTTCAAGCCAGGCTCGAAATTCTGGGTCGGTCACACTACCTGAATTTAGTTGGATTGAACTCCAAATTAAGAAAGTCGAAACAGGAAGTTAGAGCGCCGCCACAATCAAAATACCGGCCCCGCACGAATCTAGATGATCTAGGCTTAGGCCTAGGCTCGGATGTAATGGCGATGCTAGTTTTCGGATTGATAAGTGCATTATAAATTACAATTGATGATTGCGTCTTATTATAATACACACATGAAGAAGTCGTGGGTATTTTATTCAAGAACTTCTAAATACAACGGCGTCATCGACTGTGATTGGTCGACAGCCGACGAGGAAATGTCAATCCAGGTTCAATCTGGGTGCTGAGCGGGAATCGAGATAGGTAGATTGAGATCGAGGTCACGCCAGGCGCGAGTCAATCCAGGTGCAGTCACATTACGAAAATCTCACCCGCGGTGAGTCAAGCCAGACTTGAGACTCTAGTGTGACCATAGCCTAACTGCGCTGAACTGTGGACATTGATTACATAAACCTTGTTCTCAGATTTAATTTGTTTGCTGCCCTCATTGTGTTTCAGCTCGAGGGCTAGAATGCAAATATAATGCTCTGTCCACATCAAATTTTCTTGGACAAAAACTGTTATATGACCATATTTAGTCATGATGTGCCTATATATGGTCATGATGTGATGCCATTATGGTAATATTTAGGTATGTTTTTGTCAAATAAAATTTGATAGTTGTGGTCTTTATATGTTATGCACCATCTTTCAAAAGAGACATTTAAGTCTTTTTTCTTATTTGCATTTACTGTATGGGCCATGTACATGTTTAAGAATGTTAAGGCGAAATAGAATGAATTGCTAGTTGTCCCCATCCTCATCAAATTTTGGAGCCTCATAAAAAAATGTTTCTATGGACAATAAAAATGAATATCTGAAACTTTAAAGAATGATGTCAAGCCTTAGAAGAGTTGGGAATATAAATGGCAGAAATACATTACTAAGATTCATTTTACTTTTTTATAAAAAAAAAAAAACAAACAAACAAACAAACGAACAAAAAACTATTTTTGCTATTTACCAGCCTGTTTACCATTAGTATATAGGATAATAAAAAGCAATAGTAAATACCCTCACCAAAAAATAATTTCAAATCCCGGCCGTGAAACTAACAATTAATTTTATTTGGCCTAATTGTCTGCCAGGGTAACTGCACGATTCAACATAAGGACTCCACTTGAAATAAGTCATCAGACTTTCTGTTGTCCATTTCGCTCCAAAAAACATCAAATGCAAAACCTATTTTAATCTTAACAATTCTTAGTAAATTGGTGATAAGGCTATGTTTATTCTATGTTCAAACATCAGATAATGATATGACTAACAACTCAGGGATTATTATCGCCTAGCTTGAGATCGTATTTCATGTTTTTTGTTATTTTTGTTGACTGAAATATCTTTTGTTTGTCCATGAACATCTAAACGACCCTCCATCCAACAAATATGGGTCACGATGATCAATACCAACCAATAAGTACCAAAGTACACATCTAAATATTTGTATTCCAATTTTAAGTAGTTTCAAAAGGTCATTTTGAAAATACTCTATGTCAAGTGTTTGATTTTAGTCTGAACTATATAATATTATATTTGTATAGCACCTTTTAAAAAAGTAATTGCTTTTGACAAAAGTTATGTTTATTACTACAATAATATTTTACAAATGTAAATTGTAACTGATATAATTGGAAGTTATTGAAGTAGATTTAACTTCAAAACTCTATTGGACTATAATTCATCCCTCCACCACTATGGTGGGAGAATGATGGTAAATATATAATTCATTTTTGAGGTACCCAAACAGACCTCATTTAGTCTTTAGTGGAGTTGAATAGCTTGGTGGTTATAGATGCTCGCCTTATAATCCGCGGGGTCCTGAGTTCATTCTCTGTCAGTGTTTGTGTCATGCAGGTAAGGGCTTAGCCAGCGAGCAGTCCAGCCGTCTTTTGGGCAGCCAACAATTATTTAGGACGGCCACATTTACTCAGCTCGGCCTAGCCTAGTTGTGTCTGGTCCACTTTTAGCAAATTTTTTATATTTTTGAATCTGTCAAATTTTGCATTAAACTACAGCATATTTTTGGACGGCCTATTTCGTTTTTCTGGCTAAACCCCTGCGTTAGGAAATCATGTATGTTTGTCGTTTGAAAGGGTCTTATTACTTACAACTCTAATTACAGTGATATATTTGCTAATTACAGTACCAATTCTTGCATACGTTTTTTTGTGTGTCATATTAAGTGACTAAAAATAAATAATTTAGACAGCCTCAAATTTTAAGCCTTTCTGTAAATTTTGTTTCAGATTTTGAATGCTGCATACCAGGTGGAAGTGAGTGCTCGGACAAGTTCATCCTTCATCAGAGTAATATGGGAACGAATGAAAGAGGTCAGGTCAAATTTTATGCATGGCTGAATATTGGGCTTCACATTATGTTGTTTTTCTTGTTTTTCTTTAATACTATTATTATTGCTCATTGTTATGTTTGTTGTTATTCTTTATTATTGTTTTGTTTATTATATAGTATTAGTAGTGATAAAGACTTTATTAAGGAACAAGTACTATACAACATTTAACATAAATAATAAGTAAAGCTGCAAACCTCCAAATAATAATCAATTGTATTTTTTATAATCCTTTAGCTTGGTTTAAAAACCATGCCATGGAAACACCCTCCTAAAGTTGATGCAGAATGGCGAAAAAAGGTTGCCTTGGAGATGATCAGTAGTCTTAGCGAATCAAAACTTGCCAAAAGTATGACCTCACAGGTAGGTTTGAAACACTCTCAATATTGTTAGTTTCTGGGAGATTTTTGCTTTGCTTAAGGGAGACCATGCCAATTTCTTAAAAATTACTAGGTAGCGTTATGTAAGATCAAAATTAACAAATTAAAAAAAGAGTTGGAGTTCCATATTTAGGTCTATTGTGTAGGATAAATCAAAAGAAACTTACATAAATAATGATAACTCATTTGCAGTACATTCGTTAAGGATCAGAATAAATGTTCTAACAATTAGATATTGCAATGTAGAATTGTTACAGCTGTCTTTTTTTTTTCTTCTTTTGAATCTAGTTTAGAAATCGTTTACAACACTCCCATGATGCATTTTCTGCATCTTTGAAGCAACTGGAAATGAGGCATTCTGGCCGACTGGAGAAAAAGGAGGAACAGCGAATGAAAGTCCGGAAGGTTCATGCCCCTAAACTGGCCCGACTTGCCCTGGATAGCACGTCCTTACGTGACACTGTCCTATTTGGTAATTCAAATAGATTTTCTTCAGAAGTAACAACATATTATTGACAATATAGAGAATAGCACTGGTAACAGTGGTGACTATTATCTTGATTATGATAATGATTATTATGATTAAAGTATGTTATAACTTTAATTTTAAGGATGATATAGACGTGTACTAATGATGATGACGACAATAATGGCAGTGGTTGGTGATAGCACTAACTCTTAATTTTTATCACTGATGGATGGATGGATGTCATGGTGGAGATGAAATTGAGTTAATAAAAGTGCTGCTGAATTTCACAGAAACATTTTGTTTGTTTTTATTTTATGCTCAATCATATAATATAAACATAAACAAATACTACAACAGGGAAAACTAATTAAAAGAAGAAAATCAACATCACCATTTGAATTTAGAAAAATACATCAAAAGCTATTTTGCAAATTTGAGAGATTAGAGTAGATTAAGAATGCTTATTCTTAATAGTCAAACATAAAAATTAAATGACTATTTTAAATGAAAAAAAAACAACATTTTAAAACCTTACCTAGGTGTGTGGTGTTCTATATAATACTGACATTATTATATTGATGTATTATTTATTTATTTATATATTTTTATATCTATTAAATTCTCTTTTGTTAAGGGGTCATTTTGAGACAAGTTTTTTCTAATCTGATTCCTAAATCGTAATTTATAGCTATTAATTGTTTACTTTCACATGAATATCGATTGGAAAAAATAAATGTTACTGAACACATTATATCACTTATCTGTACAGGTGTGCCTCAGCTTGGGCGTGAAATTGGACGTGGTCAGTACGGGGTTGTGTATTCTTGTGAATCTTGGGGTGGCTACACGCCATGTGCTGTCAAGTCCGTTGTACCTCCAGATGACAAACACTGGAATGATCTAGCTTTAGAGTTCCATTATACAAGGTACAATGAACAGTTGAACAAGTAGCCATATTAGTCAATAATACAATTAATAAATACAGCAACATCATAGGTACGGTAAACAGACAAATTACCTATTTATTCCTTAACCTTTTTATAACAGCTAGGCTTCTTTAGATGATTGTGGAATAAATATATATACTTAACATGCTGTCAAACCTGGAGATCTGAGCTCACATGATCAGTGTGTCCATTTTCTTTCGTTGGCATTTGGGCCATGTTGTGATGCAGGGGGTGGGGAAAGGGTGGGTGGGTGATGTTCCTACATTTAATAATTGTATACAATGAACCTTTTGATTACTCCTAATCAGGCATTGGAGGATTGTATATCCATAAACCTAGAAGTGTTAAGAGGTTTTTAAGAAGCTTTACTATTACGTAATGTGAGAGGACTTTAAAAAAAATGTTTGAGAATATTGTCATGGTGTGATGTTAGGATTAGTTAATGTCCAGGAGCTGTCTTGTGGGTTTTCAGGCCGTTCAGCCCCATCAATCAGCCCTCCTTGGGTATGTGTTAATGACCCTATCGTCCAGCCCAGGGGATTATTGGAGGCTGCTTGAATTGACTTGGGAGCAACATGCAACCTGTTTGGATATACATTGATGGTTTATTGTAGTTTTTTTTTTTTTATTGTACTTTATAATTATCATTTTCAAATGTATCTGTTATTATTTATATATTTCTCTATATTATTCTGTGTACAGATCAATTCCTGAGCATGACCGTGTAGTGGCCTTGCGTGGTTCAGTTATCGATCATAATTACGGTGGTGGATATTCCCCTGCAGTGCTTCTTCTAATGGACCGCATGCAACGCGATTTACACGCTGCCATTAAAGGGAACCTAGACTTCCCAAGCCGGCTCCAGGTGGCTTGTGATGTCGTAGAAGGCTTACGTTACCTACACAGCCTAGGCTTAGTACATAGAGATGTCAAACTGAAGAACGTTTTGGTAAGTTGAGTGTGTTGTATGTGAAAAAAGATATTTTTATTTTTAAAGTTTAAAATATATTCCTGTCTTTTGATCTCATAATATTAGTTATTCTTGTATAGCTGTAAATAAAAAACATTTTTATCAGAATGGCATAAACTTTGAACATTGGCCTATTATTGTAAAGTCTGTTTAAATCATAATCTTCAAAGTTAATGGGAAATGATTAAAACATTTGAAATATATATGTATTATTAAAAGAAATTCAAATTGAAAATGCAATGTTTGTATGTGAAATGTTCTTAATGAATTTTCATTAGGAAAAAAGTGATATGTAGTAAGTGTCACATCTAGATGTGTATAAGAGACAGGTAGAGAGAACACAGGAAGGTCATGCTTGAGTGAATGTGTTCTAGCGTAACGTCTTCGTGCAAATCGAAACCTCCCTAAAGCTCTGATAATGAATGTTTAATAGAAAGTGCAATAGAATAGAATGTTTCATTCAGTGGAAAATTGAATGTTTATTCAATGTGCCGTAGCCTTGTTAAATATAACATCCAATCTTTCACAGAATTATTATGAATAATAATAATAATTATGAAATATTAATGTTTCACATGAATTTTTTTATACTATATACAACTAGTCACTCTTGTGTTGTTTCAAAGGTCAGCATAAAACTGGCCTAGCCTAAGCCCTAGGCCTAGGAATCAATTAAGTTCAGGATCAGTTAATACACTCAAAAATTTCCCCTCTGAAGCTTGCAAAATACTGTATAGAGTGGTTGCGGGATTCTATTGTATACAGTATCGCATGTTGGATAATATTGGTATATGGTTTTACATGTTTTTTTATTTATTTTTTTTTCATTTATCGTTAAATAGTGTATGGTGGAAAGTTACATGCATCAGTGTTATTTCTATCCAATGTTTTTTACAGGAGTTCGTCCGGAGAAACTCGATGTGTTTGGTGATAAATCCTGGAGCTTGATGTCAGCATGTTGGGCGGGAGAAATAGACAAGCGCCCTTTACTGGGCGAGGTCCAAGACAGGCTGGTAGAAATTCGCGATCATGCTGTTCAAATCGAGAACAAAACGACTAAAAGGAATGATACAATGTAAAAAAGTTAATGGAAGCATTTGGCGTAGCGCTTAAGACTCGAACTCTTAACCTCTTAATGGAGTTTGGAACTCTTGCCATGCAAGTCAATCATGTCCTTCGGCAAGACAATTTATTTGCGTTTGTCTGTACCCAGGAGTATAAATGGGTACTGGCATATGCTGGGAAGTTAAAGAGACTCACTATGTGGAGGAGATCCCTTTAAAGCCTGTGCCCAACGCTTGAGAAAGAAGGATGAGCACTCTGGACCTACAGGTTTGAATACCTTTACCTTTACTAGAAGCATGTAAAAATGCTAATTGTGGTCAAAAGCCAAGGGAATACCAGACAAAGTTAAAAAGATGAAATATCAATATTAATAATGATAGTAATAATAATAATGATGATAATAATACAAAGACTTTTAGTTCACATATTATTCTACGAACAGTGCTTAAATATAAGTGGTCTTATTCAATGGTAATACTGTACTGTACACTGAATTAGTGTCAGACAGCAGCGTATCTAGTAGTCTTGAAATGGTGGGGGAGATGATGGGGGCGCAAATCAATGGGTAAAAATTACTGTTTATTTATTAATTATTTAGATATATTTATGGTCTGCTACATTATAATTTAATTGTCTCTGTTTTCCCATACATGGACAAATCACAGGTACTTGCAACAGAAAACATGATATTGTGTGGACACACACTTAAGTCCTGTCTAGACTATCACATTTTATTTGACAAAAAATGTGACATGCCTTAATATGGTCATGATGACATCACATCATGATCATATATAGGCACATCATGACTATATATGGGCATACAACAGTTTGAATTTGATAGTGTGGACAAAGCATCAGGTAACTAGGTGCTTATGATTTAACAATCTGAACATAATTCTGAACGCTAATAATCGAATAATGCAATATTACAGAAAGAAATGATGAGTGTTTTAATTTAGTATTCTTTACCATAAATAATTTATAATTGCATAATTGAATCAAGTATTATTAATTTAATCATACTCAAAAAATATGGTGCTATGATTATTACCATATTTCTGAAAATCAACTTAATCCAAATTGAAGTGAAATAGGTAAATTATGTGCTTTTGTAATTGGTTTGGTGGTATAGTGTCTGCAAATATTCATCCTGCTAATCATGTTAAAATTTAAACATCCTGAAAGTTTTCATTATAGTGATTTGCTCTTTGATAAATTTGGGATTCTGAAATTGACAAGGACTGGATTCTGAAATTAGGTCATAATCAGTTGGTCAATCAAATGCAACTCATCAACCTATCAATCAATCAATCAATCAATCCATGTAGAAGGTGCATAATATGGTAAAAAAATGTTTAAAATATTTGCAAGTATAAACAGAAAGCGCGCTAATGGGCATGGCACCATTGATTTATGTTTGCTAAATTTGGACACACATGGACGGGTGGCTGGCTGACCGACCAATCAATCTATGGTTTACACTCTTTGTGGGTGTCTACCAGTACTTTGTGGCAGTCAAAAAAGATCTGTTGCGGGCCTCATGATGTTGTGGTATTTCATGGAATCTCGTTCCTTCAACGTATTTTTGCCCAGCTTAAGAGACGATACCAAAAATAATTAAAAAAATATTTAGTATCCTATGGGAAAAGCGTTTCTTTAAATTATGCTTGCATTTGTCAGTGTTAAGAAAAATGTTGAAGAATATAGAAATGTGCAATTTGACAACAGAGAAGAGGTATAAAACATGAGTTACAGTTTTAGTAAGATGGTATATTCTATCTATTATGAAAATAAAGTGTGGTGACAGTTTGTCATTTTGTATTGTATTAAGCAAGTCAAATTTTAAAAATTAGCATCAGGAACTGAAATAATGTTTTTGTTCATTATGATTACTTTGATCAGGACTTTTAAAAAATAACTTCTAATTGTAATGTTTTTTCTGTCATCAGTAACATAATCAATTCTTGTAAGAAGAACAACTGTTTGTGAGATGTTTATGTTGTAGAAATTAATTTAATTATAGAATTTCTATATTTTCTAAAGATTTTAATAAAGAAATTGATTGACCAATAACTGAACAGCATAGCTTAATTCGCTAGACTGGTGATAGCTTATATACTTTCGATAAACTATGAAGTTTTTGCATTGCTGGTTATATTAAGTCTGTCACTGTTTTCCCCCAGGAGAGGGCAAGTTAGTATTTATTACAGTCTTTCAGAAGAGACATTTTAGTCATTTGTCCTGCATACTTTAAGGTGTGCGTGCACGTTAAAAATATATGTATATAGAAATTAGAAAAATAGAGTAACGATTGTCTACTGGCTTAGAAACTGATCAACACCAGCCTACATGCATTACCTGCCAGTGTTCTTGAGCATCAACCCGATAAATCGGCACTGAGGACCAAAAGCAATATGCGCATTATTTTTCAATTATCGCACACTATATTTATTCAATTACGGTATGTAGAGCATTTTAATGCATTATTTATATTTTTGAATCTTACCTAAATGCAGAAATATTTAGATAGAGGTACTTATACTGTTTGTGTTAATTAGGTTTGTGTGCTTACATTAAGTTCTTTTGACACTGTCAATTTTTATGTGACAAATTTGTGTGATATGTCCATATATGGGTATGATGATTTCATATCACATCCATATATGGACAAGTCAGTTTTGTTTCAAACTAATGTGCTTTTTGAACATGACCAAGAGAAGTATAATTTTGTGTTTATTTTATTATCTTTTTCGTACTGTTGGAATACCAATGTGATTGGATTTCCCAGCAGGTAGTATAATATTTAAATTTGTAAATTTCAATTTGTATTTCATATCTTCATATTTTTCTTGCAAGTGCCTTTGGAAATTGATTTAAAAAAATGAAATAATTTAAAAATAACCTTTGTCACTACAAGTAATTATGTACATAACAGTATTTGTAGTTCAGTGGTTGCATAATGACAGCTAAATAGAGAGTGGAATGTATTTAAAGAATAATTAAATTTTCTAAGATGTGCTGTCTGTGATATATAAAAACAAAACATCAAATATATACAATACAGTAGAATCCCTATTAAAGGGACACAAAATGAGGGTAAGTATATCTTTTAACACTACAACCATATTCAGGGGACACCCCTATTAAGGGGACACCCCTATTAAGGGGACACTTATCTTGGTCCCAAAGATGTGCCCTTAATAGGGATTCTACTGTATTGAATCACTTTATATAGCTTTCATTTGAAAATTAAAATGAGTTTTCCATGCCAATTGTTAGATGTATATGAGATTGTTCCTACAGTATATACTTTTGCTTAATAGGCCTGAATAGCAAGTATTTTTGTAGTAAAAGTTATGTATCAGAAAATCAGCAAAAATATGTTTGTGTGGAATTGATAACTTATTAGATGCTTTAAAATGAGATTTTCCCCCCATATTTTACTACAAACCGTATCCAAAAGTTATCAAAAGAATTCCCGAGATTAATATCATCTTCCATCTAATTTTATGTTTTGTTTTTTTCAAGTACTCTCAATATGAAAGAAATAAGTTGGTAAATTAATCACTGATATATAAGCCTTTATATATTAAGTGTTGTTAAAGATTTCGAAGATATATTTATGTATATAGATTTAAAAAAGGAACTATTTTTTGTATCACTATTCAACTTTTGGTCTCTTCATCAAAATGAGCTAATAGTTGACCTAACGATAATAGATAGACCTCTTGCCAATCTATCATTAATGAACACAAGCTGCTATGGGTATGTAACAGTATTCATATTGAGCAGCCAGCTGGGTTGTCCATTAAACTTACAACTGCTTTCATGTTGTGTTGCCGTCATTTGTTATACTTGTGTTAGCCTGAGAGATGAGTTGATTTAGTGCACATATTTTTACCATGGCCACAGATAATGGGGGACCACATCTCCCCCACATATTCTTAAAGGGGATTGGTATTGATCCCCCTCAGTTTTCATCCGCAGTGTAATTTCGTAAGTCAAGAAGATTTCTAAAAGTCTAAAAGTTGTTGAAATGAACTGCATAAATAACTCGGGTTTTAACCCTAACCAACCCTATAAGTCTACCATGCGTGATTTATATATATATATATATATATATTTTAAAAGGTAAAGAGAAATCTGCGAGTGAGAAAAAAAATTCCCCAAGGTTAGCTGCTTGGACAGGCAAAGTTGTAAATTATTATGCTTATGCTCTGCATTAATCCAATGTATTTTCGATTATGCTGCATCTGCCTGGTATGTTGGTATAAGTATATTTCTAAAAAAAATATGAGACATATAGAGATAAACTCTAAACCATCTTGTAGTAATGCTATAAATATATGTGGCAAAGACAAGCCAAATCAGTCACTCGTCACAAATCCTGTTTCAGAGAAAATTGCCAAAACATGCTGGAATGTCAACATTTTTTACCCCCATTTTCAATGTTAAAACAAGTTTTTAAAAATTTGGTGATGGTTTCTGACTAAGAAATGCCTAAAATCATAAACTCTGAAGGCTGATTTCTCAAATATTGTTCTGTATAAAGCTGTATGTTTAAACTCCTGTAACTTCCTAATGAAATGTTGGATTAAAATAGTTCTTTTACCATTTTATAGCTCTCATTTTACTGTTTAACTCTGTATTAATAACTAAAAAATTGATTTTAGCAACTGTGACTGGTTTGGCTTGTCTTTGCCAAATATGTAAATACATTTTGTAAACCTCTTCCTCACACAAAATTTTGCACCTCCCCCAGACGACTGATTACAGGTAGTTGACCTTTTGTTACATTAATAGTAGCTGCTGAGATTCAACACTGCATACTTAGCAGCAGCAGCACCAAGAGGTGATTTGTCAAAAGGGAGAATAAAGGAACAGTACCGGTGAGGCCTAACTAAGCACCTAAAAAACCTGGGCAGTTTTAGAATATTTTTATCTGTTCTGAGATCCTCATTATGCCAAAAATAATTCAAAAAAACTTAAAAAAATGTTTGCCTGAGCGATATTTCTTATTACCAATCCCCATATAACATTGTCTAAAAGCACAATTTCGGGCCATACAGTCACAAAAACCCTCCCTATGAACCCTACCAGGATCGAGGCTTTAGTTGGCCCCTTGGTTTGGACCCCTTTTGGCAAATTTTTTTGAGCCCTCACTGGGCCTGAGTCATCCCCCGATTGTTTTGTTACTGAGGGATTAGATACCATGTACAGTATCTGAAACACAATTGAAATTTTAAAAACTCGGAACAGGTATGAAAATACAGTATGTAAGACAACTATCTCTAAACCATTCATTTTTAGTTCCTATGCATGTAATGCAATAGGAACTATTGTAATCACTCTTCACATTTCTTTTGTTTTTTATTGCGTGTAGTATGTGCGTGTGTGTGTAGACATTTACGCAAATGCGCATGCGTCAAAGAAAAGTTTTCCGACATTTTGTTTTACATCGCGATGCGAAGTTTGATGTGAAGTTTCTGCAGAGTTCAGTCAGGGCTCACGCGACGTTTTTTTCTGTTATATGAGTAGTCCATAGAGCTATTAAACAACTAGAGTGCTGAGTTATGTATGTGTACCATCCAAGATGGCCGTTGTAGTAAAGCGCTACCTTCAGGCTTAGTATACATATTATTACATATATATATATATATATATATATATATATATAGTGTATAAAGTAAGATAGAAAAATATGTATGTTCTATCTTACTTTGAACACACATGCTTACCTATGTTATAATATATAGTGTATACGTATATATATATATATATATACA